TGGTTTTGTGATTCTACCAATTTTACACCCATAGCTTGTATTATTTGTGATCTTTGCCATCCATTTGCTGATATAGGTAATCCATCTTTAATTATTCTCCCGTTATTTAGGTCATCAAAGTATAAATCCTGTTGTATTTCTTGGGACTTTCTTTTTACCTGTTTTAGAAGTTTGTCTCATTTTTTCTCTGCATGATAGAACTCCCCATCCATTTGAAATAATGTTAGATTATTGTGTGAAATAAACCCTCGTAATGATTGAACATTTGATTTACAAGTGAAACCTAATAAGAAAGTAATAGAAATTGTACCAGTATATTTAATATCTGGAGTATTAGTAATATATTTTCGTAAATTATTAAGATCATATGCAATTTGTGTTTGTCGAATATATATTAGTAAAACTTGAATCAGAAGCATAATCAGTCCATCTGTATAATATTTTATTTTGTTCAGTAGACCATTCCAAATTAAATTTGAAGAACGTTTCTCCCAATTTAGTGTAAATACAATAACCTGGGATAAATGGAATGAAAACTTTTTGTTCAAGATCACCATCCATTTCAGCTACTTTTGTCATCAAATATACGTTATTCTTATTTTTTATCTGGCAATAAAGTATGTTGTGGTAAATATTGCCAGTTTCTATCATTTTCACGAATAAAAATAGTGCGTCCTGGTCTAGAATATCTTTGACGTTGGTTATTATCATTTAAAAGATATTCCATCCAACTTTCTCTAACCTAAAGAACATAAGTAAGATAAGTCTAAAAATAGAATGTGTACTAAAAATAGAACATATATATTTTTCAAGTTATGTTAAAACAGCTCCTAATAAACATTAAATTTTTTAGTCTTACCATCCTTAGTTGAATAAGTCAAAGTTATAGAGTATTGATCTAAGTAAAATATTGTAAAGTATGGCGACTTGATAGTTTGAACCACTTGAGTTATAACGAGTAATGAGCAATCTTTTAAAGTAATGAGCAAGTCACAAGTTAAAGTTATTCTTTTTAAAAATATTTATATTTAATATGAAAAGTGAAAAAAGAAGTTTAAAGTATATAAAAGTGTCCTTTTACAATATTGTGAAAGATTTTTTTTCAAAATACGATCATTTATTTTTTTTTTTTACTTGTCACATTTCTTCTGATTATCGCAAACCTAGTACAAAAAAATTTTGGCTATGATCGACACTATGTTACATATGTGTAACCATATGATCAAAAGACCCTACCCTTAATCATTCAAAAAACCAGAGAGCTGTTCTCTTGTAAGACCAGTTGTGATAAGATAAGTCGATCCCTAAACCAAACCTCTTTGTAGCCTGTAGGAAAGTATTCCGCTTTTCATAGATCCTTTGATATATTTCCTCAAGTGTTTCATATATTCCAGTTTTACGATTCTTCTCGATAGGGATGAAGGAGTAACTATCAGAGTTCTTACCTTTCTGAAACTGTCCAACTGTATTAAAGAGACTTAACTGTCTTACCATTGTATATTGTTACTATATTATTAACCCCATCTTCACGATAAACAAAGGGAGACTTTTGTTATCTATCTAATTTACTAGGGTGGAGTCTTCCGGGATTCAGTGTAAGAGAGTAGTGGCCTTCAGACAAGATGAGAGTTGCGCATCTGTCAGATTTGCTCTTGGAAATTTGAGTGGAATCCCCTACAATATTAAGTGCAAGGCTTCCTGCAAGTTGTTCAACCTTATTCATATATGAGACTGAAACTGAAGCATCACGATTGAGACCTAATGCCTTTTTGATATACTCGGGCTTCTTTATAGTCTCAGGTATTTTAGAGAATGTACCATAGATATGCTTCAGGCATTCATACAGGCAATCATTTAGCTCCCCATTGCATCCTCCTGCAGTCGGTAGAGCATCTCTCACATAAATTATGAATTATTCAAAGTAATCAGGGTCTGCGTCGTCTGGTAGTTGTGCTTCATCATAATGGTCTAACAGTGAGAAGAGACTTACCAGTTCATTTCCTGATGTCTACCCACCAGGTTTTCAGTTTTTATAGGAAAGCAGAATCTGAAATTTATGAGTTAGATACTGGGATTGAAGTCGCTGTTCAAGTCTAGCAATAGCTCCTCTAGAAAATCTTGCGCCTGAATACTGTAGTTCTTTGATATCTGATCTTGTAGGTAAAGCACGAACAATCTCTGAATAAACCATTTAATGTATTTATGAATTGTGTTCAGTTGTAATATAGGTTTTTTATATAAAAAATATAAGATAACTAAGAGGTATTAAAAGGAGTCAATTTTGCTACATATATGATCAAGATCTTCTTCATTCCAGTCTACATATTTATTGGCAGCTTCCCACTGATGTTCCATATCAGTCTTTGGATGCTCCTCTGGGATCTCTTGTGCTTTACCCTTATCCTTTTGGTCTATCTTCATAGTTTCATAACCAGAAGGGGTAGGGATAATCTTGGCATCATGATCCTCTTTGTATGCTCTTATTATATCTGCAAGTTCTTTACGACTGGGTAGGACCCCGGAAAATACTTATATAGGTAAGGTCCCAAAAATATTTTTTATTAGTAGCTCTAAGCACAGGTTTTTACTATGATCGCTAAGCATTGTTGATATCTAACCTTAAAAATTATATAAAAATAAGCAAATCAATCTTCTAACCTAATTAAATTTTTATTATAACACATATAATTTATAAAATATATTTATTAATTAATATATTTTATTAAATCCAATTTTAAATATGTTGTGAAGCTAAACTAAACATAATATACAAGTAGATTAATAATATTCAATTAATAAAGTTAATAAATAGTAAGAGAAAAATTCGAAATTAATACTATTACAAAAAATGTAAATTTCTCCACAAGTATTATACTTACACCCATAAAAATTAATATGTAGGTAGTTTCGACCTTGCTGAACAATTTTCAATTAATTTAGAAAGTCGATTTCATTTGACCAAAGGGGTGTAATTACGCTCTGAAGTTGTAAACGGATAAATGAAAAATTCGGAAGTTAGTACCGTTATGAAAAATGCACTTTTCTACATAAGTATTATACCCACACTCATAAAAATTAATATATAAGTAGTTTCGACCTTGCTGAACAACTTTCAATTAATTTAGAAAGTCGATTTCATTTGACTGAAGTGGTGTAATTACGCTCTGAAGTTATAGACGAAAAAGTGAAAAATTTAAAAGTTATTACCGTTATAAAAATATGCTTTTCTATATAAATATCATACTTAGCCTTATGAGAATTAAAATACAAGTAGATTTAACTTGCTGAACAACCTTACTTAAGCATAAAAGACAATTTGATATAACCAAAGTGGTGAGTAGTGAAATTATATATTAAAGTAAAACATATTTACAGTAATTTTATTTAACAAAATAAATAGTATCTTTTTAATTTTTATTAAACTCAGTGTATTATTTTTAATATAAAATTACTATATTATACATGTTGAAAGATAATTAATAAAACATTGAAAAAAAAAACTGAAATTCCTTAAAAAAAAATTTTTGTTTATGTATTTATATAAAATTGTGAAATGTAGTACAAAATCAACACTCACCGTTAGTGAAAATAAAATAAAAATTAATTATAAATTCAATATATAATATTTTAAAAAGTTCTATAAATATGAAAAATAAGCAACTAAAAACTCTTAGTATTTTAAAATAATACCAAAAATATGCAATTTAATTATCTTACATAGTATAAAATTTTCTTAAAATTAAGCATTATAAAATTCTTACATCATAAAATTTTTCTATGTTGGCTAAGCACCTTGGTACCTTACATATATAAGCATTTTCCGGGGTCCTGGTAGAATAATTTATTTCTGAAACCTATTGTAATAAAAGAAAGAGAGGAAAGAATCTTGTAAAATGTGTGAGAAAGTAAAGAAATAATTTTGTAATATAGTCAAATAGGGAAAATTATCTTTATTATTATAACCTTACTCTTAGAATCATCCCAACAATAGTCATACTTTTCCTAGTTGAGGTCTGGAATTGAAGACTGCACATGCATGTCTTTTTACAAATCAAATTCTTAAGTGAAGATTTATGGGAACATCTTATACATGCCATCCAAATTATTTTGGACTGCCGTAGTAATTATAAGTAAAATTCCAAATTCAATTATGGCATCCCAAATTATTTTGGCACTTTACATAGTAAATTATATATAAACTGAATGAATTATGACATCCCAAATTATAATTATGGCATCCCAAAATAATTTGGGCAGCATGTATAGAACATCTATAATAATCATGAAACATAGAGTTTGCCTAACGAACCATTCTTAATAAGTTATCTAACAAAGTTTGCTTCGTTAGCTAATCAGTCTAATGGCACTAAAGATTCACCAGTTGTTCAACCCTGAGTTGCGTTTCTAGTAAAGGTTATTTGGAGAGTAGGTCTTTTAGCACAGTTGCTTTTACTAATTTTGAAATAGATTTTAGGGAAGAATCTAGAGATACAATGTAAACACAGTTATGACTTGGGTATATATCACTTTTTAGTTTAGCTTTCTTTTATTTGTATTTTTAGGAGACTGTTTGGCTTTTATTTTTAGTGTGTTTATTATAGAACTTCACACATTCTCTTGTTCATTTTGAATTCTTGTATAAATTTAATAAAGATAAAGGTTACCAAGCCAAGTTTGCCTAAAGAAATAACTTTAATGCTGGGATTCCCATTTATGGTTTAGGATCCAAGTACTCACTCCCTCTTTAATGGCATTATATTTCTTTTACTTCTCTAGTATTTTTTAACTTTATATACATTGGAAAATAAAAATGTATTGAAAATTATTTTTTGCAAAAGTTGTTCTCAGAATTTGGCACTTTTTATTTGCAGTATGATGCTTATTGCATATAATAATTATTACATTAAATGAATGTCATTTACAGATCAAAATTTTTTCTTAAATGAAAATATCATTTGCAAAAGTAAATGAGAATGTTACTTAAATGAAAAATAAAAAAATTATACCCCAACCATATCTTGCTGATACATAATTTCGTAATATTCCAATTTATCTCCCACTTTTTCCTCCACCTCCAAAAAAATACCGTCATTGCTCATCTTTACGCTAACAACTTTGACATGGAATCCATCTTCAAGTTTGATTTTACGGTTAAGAAGATATGAAGCTTTGTCCAGTAAAGAACGATTTTTCTGAATTTAAGAAAGAGTCAATAACATCTTCATTAAATATCAATTACTCATAAATAAATTAAAATAAATACCTCTATTGGTAGCTTTTTATAACTCTTATTTCCCTTATTTTTTTTCTTTGGGAAGTCATCAAAGCAAACCGAAAATTTCAGATCTTTATTTACATATTCTGGCGGACTATGAAAAAGAGATATTATTAATTTCTACTTGTGACTTCGTTTTACAATTAAGAGCAATAGATGCCAACTTACGCTTTATCAATAAATTCTTGAAACATAGCGTTAAATCCTTTCTTATCCGCTGTTCTTTCAATCCATTCCCCAGACAAATCAGTTCTTTCTTCCTCTTCTTCAAGTGCTCTGTAGTAAGAGACATATTAGAAAAGAGATCAAAGAAATAAAGTTAATAAACCACTTACTTGATTGGATCAAAACCTCTAGCTTTACATTTTTCTGGGTCCAAATACGTATCACCATATATAGTAGTAGTTAAACAAGCTTCATATTCTTCAGATGCTTTTAGGGAATCTCTGTAAATATCGCCAATATCTAGCTCTGTGAGGATAAACCATAAGTATATATAAATACCTTGGCAAAGTAATAGAAAATTCACAAAAAAGGCTCACTTTTATCTTTTCCTGAGATGTGAGACATTAAGAAAATTTGACCACAAAAGACGAGGAGAGAAAAGTGACCCAAACAAACTGTAAACCTAACAGCGATACGTGTCAAAATAAATGCATTAAAAATCATGTGTAGAAAATTATTGGCAAACAAAAAAGTCACGAGACTGTAATTTCAAATGAGTCATTTTTTATAATTAATTGTAAATCACCTTTGATTGGCAGCTTATAAATCATTTTTTATTGACAGCTAATAATATCCCCTATAAAAAAAAAATTCTAGAAAAAACTCAGAGCCTCAGATAAATGGATAAATGAGTTTTTTATTCAAGAATCTCAGACACATGATCATTTTCTGAAAATTTATTATAGGAATTCCACTTCAGAAGCTGTGCAAATTGTGACTTCAGATCTTATAAGGTTAGTGTTACTCAACTCAAATTACGTGCATACCTCTAGTGATTTTATTTGACAACATCAAAAAAATTCTCTCCAAAGTTTAACAATATGACCCGGCTATCTATTACCTCCAACTTCTCCTTCGTCTAATTTGTCACCCCTTAAAACCTGTCTCTTATACACATCTAGATGTGTATAAGAGACAGATATTATACATGTTGAAAGATAATTAATAAAACATTGAAAAAAAAAACTGAAATTTCATCAAAAAAAAATTTTTGTTTATGTATTTATATAAAATTGTGAAATGTAGTACAAAATTAACACTCACCGTTAGTGAAAATAAAATAAAAATTAATTATAAATTCAATATATAATATTTTAAAAAGTTCTATAAATATGAAAAATAAGCAACTAGAAACTCTTAGTATTTTAAAATAATACCAAAAATATGCAATTTAATTATCTTACATAGTATAAAATTTTCTCAAAATTAAGCATTATAAAATTCTTACATCATAAAATTTTTCTATGTTGGCTAAGCACCTTGGTACCTTACATATATAAGCATTTTCCAGGGTCCTGACTGGGTGCTTTAGGTAAGTCCCCATTATTCGGTCCAGTCCTTGAAACGATTTACTACTTCCCTAAGGTAGTACTGGTACTCATTCTCAACATGTGCTGTGGGACATTCCTCTATCTCAAACACAAGTATATCCCAATCATACTCGTCTGATGTGTTTTGGTACTTAGCCCATAATTCCTTACTTGTATTGTAAAAATCATTGAAGACCTGGTCCTTTGAATTCTTAACCTATGACTTATGATCCCATCGGCGTCTTTCTTGCCAAACCCAGTGTACTTGAGTACCTTCCTTTAGTTCAGGATTCAAGTCAATTTCTGGTTCTGTGTCAGGTTCTGGGATAGATTGCTCTTTAGGAATTAGTTCTGGATCAGATTTAGTGACAGATGTAGGAGATTTGGGTTGTTGTTCATGAGCTGGGTTCGTGATTATAGGATCTGAGTCAGATAGCAAGTCATCTAAGATGTCATAGTCATCAACAGCTTCAAGTGCAGGTTCCTCAGCAGGCAGCCCATCTTCTTGTTCAGGTTCCTTGTCAGATAAATAACAGTCTGAGAAACTGTCTATAATTTCATCAGTGTCTGACTCTATGGGAGCTGGAGATTCCTCAGAAATATGGTTTTTATCAATGATAGGTGCGGGTTTTACCTTCAAATAATCAGGTTTAGATGGTACTGGTGGAGGAGTCTTTTTAGCAACTGATTGCTCTTCGATAACAGGTGCGGATTTTTCCTCAGCAGATTTCTCCTGTACTTGTGACTTATTAGCTGGATTATATATATTTACCAAGAAATTCTCCAAGGCTTTAAGGTCAGATGCGAATTTCTTAGGAGTCTCTATATCAATTCCCTCTATATTGATTTCATCTGTTTCATGTATCCAGTTTTTGCTGAGGTATTTCTTGTAAAGATCCTCTCTGGATATACTATATACTCGAGTTAACTTTTTATTTACATAAGTCTGATTACTATTTATACTCAACTTATTTAATAGGATTCTAGAAGCGTTTATCTTTAATAAGAGTGAAATGCAATGAATTTCACAGTATAAAGCATATACCCTATAAAAATCTTGTACAGGTAAGTTGATTATATGATTTTACTATGAGGTATGTGTCCTTTATGAATTGAAATAGAGGTGGGAGAGTCGATATGATGTGATCCTGCTTAGATGTTATCATAGATAGTGGATTCCCATTGAAGTCTGGATAAGCATCTGCAATGGCTCTTAAGTATGCATAGAACGCCTCACTAACACCCGGATATTTCATTGTATTACCAAGTTTTTTGAAATATTCCAGGTCTTTCTTGCGGGATGGTGATACATCCAAGAAAACTGTGCGTCTATCATCATTTTCCATTCTGAGAGCATTTTCATTGGTGAGGACAATGGTGAATATAAAGTTTTTGTAATATGTTGGCGTCTTATATTTTTCATGGATTTCCATTATATCGCCTGTTACCTTATCCTTCAACGATCGATACAGATTATTCCACTAGCTTTCACTGGTCAAATGATGAAATATCGGGTAATAACGTAT